TATGCTGTCATACCCATTTAAAAATAACAGGTTATTGGAACCTCTGCAATTAAGGCCCACTGTTGGCAACTCTCACCAATCTCAGTAAAGAAAAAGCATGGAAAAAAATGTACTGTGACAGTAAATTTATACAGAAACTTTTATAGGAAGGAAAACTTTTGCTGACGTGTTGTCACAGGGACTTTGATAAGATGTCTGTGGAGTAAGTTAATGCTCTGGGAGTGCTCATCAGCCATCTGTTCATTGACTTCCAAACATCTATATGAGAAAGGTCTGTGTAGTGCTTGGGACAGCTTGGCTAAGAAAGCCATATGCAGCAAGGTTTTTAGCACACACACACACACACACACAAAAAAAAAAAAAAAAAAAAAAAAAAGGAAAAGGAAAAGGAAAAAAAAAAAAAGAAGAAAAAAAATGTACAAGAAGCCCAGTGAAAGCTAATGGGCAAAGCTCTCACCGTATCATCAGCGAGACAGGCGATGTGGAAGGAAGATGACGTGCCCTGAATACTGCTTTGGATGAAAAGGTCTTGTTTTTGACACTGCTAAGTTCCTCTCTGCAGCACTACCACATGCCGTCGCTGCAGAAATCAAGGTGTTCACAGGCTTCAGTTTAATTACATGTCTGCCTCAGAGATGAACAGCCTTAAAGGTCCTGTGGTTAGGTGACACTTACACTGGTTACTTGTGACTTAACAAGGCCTCAAGTTTTCCAGGAATCAATTTGAAGTAGTGAGGAAACTTGCTTTGTCTGGTGATTGGAAGAAAATGGAGATGAAAAGTTAGCAAAAGTCATGCACAGGGCAGCAGACTAATAACCATAGGCTCATTTTGTATTGCTGATGTTTGGACTGATGCCAAATATAATATTTTTAACAAAATAAACAAATCAAGGCATGATTATATCTTGCAAATGTTCTAAGCCTTGTCTGATAAGAGTATTTTGGCAAACTGAACTTTGCTGCAATGAATACTTACTGAATTGGAAGTAAAACATATATGAAATTCGTAATCATATTTTATCATAAAAGCATGCTTAAATTTGTATACAGGAAGAAATAAAAAGACAGTAAATGTGAACTGATTTGTTTTTTCTTATAGGAGAGTTTCATTTAAAAAAAAAAAAAAAAAAAGAAGTACAGCAGCCTAAAACTAGAGGGATCCCTTGATCTGAGGGAAGAAATGTATATATATATATATATATATATTTTTTTTTTTTTCCCCAAAAAGCATTATAATCTGATATCTGTTTTTTGTTCCTGGTGTTTCTTAGTACAGTAATAACAGTTCCCTGATCTGATTTGCAGAGAAGCTCAATTTGAAAGGTGGTAAATATAATTAATAACTGAATGTCAGAAATATTATTTCCACACTGCTTTGCAAGAAAATGTAATTCTGATTTTTAAACACCATATTACTGCTTCCTCAACTTATTTAAAACGAAACCATTAACATTTTTATAAATGGCCAACAGCCGCTGTATCTTAGTGTAGTTTAGGTAGCCGTTATTTAAAAATAAATCATTATTTACTGAAAAGTAAATTTGGAGAAGTGTGGGAAATTATGTATTTTATCGTCACGTGGTTACACATTACATCACATTTCACTGCATGATGATGGGTGTAATTAAACTTTAATTTAAATGAATAAAGTGATGTGGTATAATTCAGAAGGTGAGCTGTAGCTTATGCAGGAAAGCGATGATGAGAAGGAATGGCTGTCAGTCACATGGGTGAGCAGGAAACCCCCTATGGGAAGAATCAATTGTGTGAAGTACATTTAGGTGGCTCTAAGTTGACTTTTATTATTTCAAATTTTAAAGTATATGTCTCTGTATGTGTTTATATTTGTATGTATACATGTATGTATATATAATGTTCTCAGTTATTCTATTTTTTCTAGAAGGCATCCCATGAAGGTGGACTGTTGAGGTTTGGGAGTTGGAGAGGGGAGTAGAAATTTGGGAATGGATTAAGGAGGTTATAAGAGCTTATCCTGTGTGTGCATGTGTAGTTAAATGCAAGCTGATGAAAAGGTTGAGTAACATCAGTAGTGCGTGAATACTCGAGAAATTGAAAGCTGTACTTTTTGGACAATTCTCAGTCTTGTCTCTAAATCAGTAATGGATTGATGCTCATTTGCCAAGTGCTGCCATCCGAGCAGGGTCCCACCATCTCTTTTGGAGAAAACACAGCAGGAAATGGAACTAAGGAAAAAAGCAATACTGAGTAGTGAGGCCAAACCAAGTGCAAATCTACTCCTTCTCACTGCCAGCTGTATATCTGGCTGCAGAAGGCCAACACGGTTAAGTATGCAAATCATTAGGATGTATTCTTCAGATAAGCTTCCAAGCCTCATTTTTCAACATATACAGGAATCGGTTCTGTAGTTCTGTAGAACAATATTAAAAGGTGAAAGAAGGGAGCTTGCAGACCCCAAAGGAAAGTACATTTTCTTTTTATTCTTTTCCATGTGAAGTTTCTGTTATGCTTACAGGGTATTCCATATGCATTATACTCTTGAATTCTTTCATTTGCAGCAATAGCCATTTATTGATATGTCAGTTATAATTCTGGGCACTTATGGTTCACATTTATTATCCATAGTGTATGTTGAATAAAGTGACTAAAGGCACTTTTGTTTAGATTAGGACAAAGATATACAGTTCATCTGAGGAGACGTGCTACTTCAGGAAAATTAAAACCGTCGTGAAATATATGTAAGATAGAAAGAACATTATGGAACTAGACCTTGTGTCTAGCACCTAGTGTTTGGCGTAGGTGCCCGACTGTCTCAACTTACATGGGGCCTTGATCTAATATATGAATTGAAATCTAAAGAATTAATTTTAACATCAGTTCCAAGGTATGTTACCTCTAGAGGTTTCCTCTCTCTGATGTGCTTTTGTACTCATACGGATATCCAGTACCTCTTTTAAATCTCATTGGATCTTTTACCTTCGTGGCACTCTAGACCCATTAGTTCTCTTAATATAATTTCATGCTGTGTGAATAAATGTTGCCTTTTCTTTATTTTGAGTGTAAATGTTATCAATTTTATATTGCAGTATGTCATTATTTGGTTTATATATACTTATCAGAAATTTTTACTATCAAGTAAAAATATGATAAGTCCAGCAGCATAAATTTTTAGGTAGAGACAGTAAGTAAGCAGGGGAGGAAATAAAACGTTTCAATCTGACCTGGAGTAATTTTTGCTGATGATAAGCTATGGGATGTGCAGCAGTACCAGTGGGCAGGGAAGGCTACTTCTACAAATATTCCTCAAACACCAAATCACTGCTGGTTGATTTAAGGCATCTTTCTGCAGACGTCCTACGAGTTTCAAGTCTTATTTTTAGCTTTCAGGGGAAAAGTGTTCTTTAACTTTCAGTCTCATTAGCTGTACAGAGCAACAGCAGGTATGAAAAATTTTGAATTTCTGCCATTCGAGATGTTAAGGTTGTTTCTACTATAGGTGCAGGTGGTGGCACACAAGCCAGATCTATATAGGATATCTGTAATCTCAGCTTGAATTTGCAGATGGGAAGAAATATGTCTACTCTTTAGTAAAGAAGTTTCTATCTAGACATGGCAGTCAGTGAACATAAAACTTTCCAGGATTACTTTTCACAATATACTTTTTGTTTAAAAACACTGTCACTTGTTACAAAACAGCCAGTGTTTGTCTGCAAAGCACTCATTACCTAATTATCACAGAATTCCCTAAATGTTAAATGTTATTTACAAACCCAGTTCCTTTTGTTTTTCATCTGTAGAAAGATACTTTTCCTAGTATCCTTGTGAATTTAATTGTTTTTCTAAGTTCACCTTGGAAAATGAAATAATGAAGTCCATACTACTCTTAATTCATTTTTTGGAATGAAAGAGCAGCCTTCCTCTGGGAGGTCTCAGTTTAGATCTTTCAACATTTGTGTTTGTAACACAACTATTTGTCATGAGCTTTTAATCTTAGGAATCTCGCAGGCTTTTTCTAACCTGTTGTTAAAATGAGAATGGGTGTTTTTTTTTATGAAAGCTCTGTGGAAAACATGCATTTTAGAAAATGTACCCCAATCCTTTGAAATGCTTGTTTTTATTTAATTCTTGGTGTGTTTAACTTTTTGAATATTGTGCTGCGTAAGAGACAAATAGTGTTTACAATTAGTATTTCAAATTATCTCCTATGAAAAATGACATATCTGGAGTTTTAAACATTTGTAAGCTACAGTAGAAATAGTAGCTTTCAAGTAGAAGTACAGTAGAAGTAATAGCAATAGCTTCAAGGCTAGGTTGGATGGGGCCGTGGATGCCCTGGGCACCCTGGCCCTGCCTGCAGCGTGGGAGTTGGAGCTGGATGATCCCTGATGTCCCTTCCAACCCAAGCCATTCTATGGTACAGTAGGTATCAGTCAGTGGATAACAAAGGAAGTAAGTAGTTGTTTAGAAGAGATGGAAGTGTGTGACCACTTGCTAACGGCAAAAGAAATAAAACAATATCAGAAGACACAAGCAACTCCCCCAAGACTTCGCTGCCTTGCCTAGATGGATGAAACAATTCTCTAGGCATTGCCTCTAAACTAGTCTCTGTTAGATTTATTTCTTTTAATATGATGTTCTGAATTGCTTCTTCTTAAAGGTGTGCTTGCATTTGACACATTACTATCAGGTCATTCAGTGTCTTGTCCAATGTCCGCCAAGAAAATTGGAAGTCTTTCTGTTTAATTCTTTTAATTTCCATGCTGTTTGTAAAGTATGGCAATGATCTCAATGGCTCCACATGCATATGTATGTATGTGTTTACACATATATATGTATACATGTATTTTTCTTAGAAATTATCCCCTGTGGATTGTAATTTCTTCCTGTGTGTGTGTACAAAGTTATTTAATATGTCGATATTGTCAGTAGACACGTATGAGAATGGGAGCAAAGACACCACTGAGCCTCTATCCTTTAAGCACCAGAAAAATCTGCTAATGTTATTTTTCGTTTATTTCAGGTTTCTTTTCTCCATGGAAAACTCCAAAGCCTGTAAGTTCCCTTTCAAAATTATACACATTGAGTTCGTAAGATGACTATCATTCAAAGCAAATTTGTGTAGACTTTCATCTAACCCACCTGTTCCCAGCTCGTGAGACACCTCTCAGCAGTACCCCAACTCTAGGTGAGACACAGCATCAGGGGTGGCCTTGTTAATAAGCTCTGCAAATCTATGCACTTGGAGTTCCCGACGCTGTTTGGAGAAAGGAACTTTAGGATGGGTGACAGGAACCAAAAAGATAGTGGCTCAAAAATTGGAGTCTGGAGGACCACCATCACTGAGGCCACTCTTGCTAGCCATTTCTTTGGAGTAGAAAACATGCAAATTTCTGTTTACAAATGGATTAAGCTTGACATTTTGAGAGTAATTTTTATTCTTTTTCACATTAGTAGGTCTAGAGTTAATTTTTTATAGCTTTCTTATTTTTGTGTTAGGGTGTTTTAATGCTGAAACAAATTCACATCCATTCATATTGGATAGTGGCATGTTTATTTCAACTAGAATGATTTGGTTCAAATCATTGCTCAAATTATAATTGAGCAATGGCACCAAACCATTACCCAGTTTAGAATTTAGATTTCATGCACTGCATACAACACCATGCTTACACAGTTACAAGAGTGCCTTATCTGTATGTTAGCATGATGACTATGATGACGTGACTCTCGTTGCCAAACTTTATGTGACTTTATGTGACTGTTTAACTAATTGATGTGAGTTTGGGAAGCATAATTCCTCTTATCTTTATCTGTGGAACTACTTTTGTTAGTAGTATTACCCATTGCAAAGCAGTAGAGATAGAGATTTGGAGATCAGAAACCAGCAAACAAGAATTAGATGTGTAAGACCCAGTAGGACTTTGTGAACTGATCTCATTTCTTGTCCTTCCTCCAGGGAAAGGTTCGTTCATCAAAGATAATTGTTTTCCTCTCTCTTTTTAAAATCTTCTTTAAGTATTTTAATTTTATTCAGTTTCACATTTTGAAAGAGGTAAGTGTTTGTTCTATTTCTCTGCTATTCTCCTAAAAACTAGGAAACTTTTTCTTCTAGTCTGGGTTTCCCATCTTTCCTCTTCACAGTGATGATAGGTAGTTTGATTCCTTGACTTTTTATTCTTTTTCATTTTCCTTACTGAAGGCAAACCCTAAAAATTTTTCTCCGTTATTATATTAGGAATTTGTACTGACCCCAGCTTAAGCATTGGGGTCATAATCAGATTTGTTTCTGGAAACCTTTGAATTCCACTTCCACAATATAATTATATCCTGCATCTATGTTTATGTATATCTTAGATAATTCCTTTAGAGCTGGAGGCACTATCAGAAGTATTATTGTGATTTTCATGTGGGTTGCCACTCAGGCTAATTTACTCAATATAGGATGCATCTATTGCTCTGCAAAAGATACCTGAGTGTACATTAGGTACTTTCCTGCACTGAAGTTATTTCAATAACAAGTATATGGCATTTTATTGCACAGGATATACTCACCCAGAGCATCTCTCAGATCACATCTTTTATATCTTACCCACCACCTCTTTCTTGAACAATGTTGGTATGATTTGAATACAATATTCCTTATCTTCATTATTAGCATTAATACTTCCCCTTCTCCGTTTAAATATTATACCCAATACATACAAGTGTGTGAGTCATCTGTTATTTACTGAAACACCTTCCTTTTCTTCAGTTTCTGATGAACCAGACCTACTTTCCTCAAAAACTGTGGCAGAAATGTAGCTTGAAGTATAAATAAGGTACTCAACAACTGAAAATGGCCAATATTCGAATTCTCTTTCAAAATATGAAGTTAACAGTGTTAGACACTTTGGGATGTGCCAAGCGAGTTACTCAGCATATTCTTCACAAAGACTCTCAAGCATTGTTAGTCTGTGCAATAGCTGTTGAAAAAGCCTGAACAAAGCTCACCTGCTGAGCCAAATACCTTTTGAAAACAAGGAACTGGAGTTGAAGGATAATCACAATTTATAGAGCAGACTTTCTGTGGACTTGCAGTCATCTTTGACAAAGCACTGCTGATGAATACTAGAAGCTGGTGATACTTAATCACATTTCAGTTTGCTTCTGAGCGTAATTTTTTGTGGAATTAACTGATTGTTGGACCATATGAAAGAATACACTATTCTGGAGCCTCTGCTAGCCTTTGCTTCAGCAGGGGTAACAGGCAAAGTCCAGTATTCATTGCCTGGGATAAAAGTTTGTGTTTTGTTTAACTTAATCTTTTCAAACATATTTGCTAATGGAATTTAATTACTAGCCAGCTCCTTCAAAAATAGAAATCCCCAGTATCCCTAAGCTGTCTTTGCACAGTGCACATTATCTTCCTTCTAGACTGATGTGCTTCAGAGACCAATAAAGGCAGTCTTCAAGAAAGCTTGAATTGAGGGGCCTTTCATGAATAGACGATACACTCCTGTGTACTTTTCACAGGCGTCTGGTCTGGAAGAACAGAAAAACTTATCCTGTGCTTGGGAACATGGTTGGATGACAACAGTGTAATTTTTGTTAGAAAAAGAAACAGCAAGTAATGAGAAAATCTGCATCAGAGTAACGCTCACCTTGTTCTGTAGTGTATCATTCAACTAGCTACTCAAATATCTGCTCTAATAATTTTGCATGTGGGAATTATATATTCTTCACATGAAGCAGTAAATTTTGTTTGCAGTTGCAGTAATCTATTTATTTGACCCATTGCAGTTAGGTATCTTCATGCATTCTCAAACATGGAGATCATTCAGTTGCAGCCAGCCTGGGCACTTCTTTGTTAAGCACTCCTCCTCAGTTACATACTCTGCTGAATATGATAGTTGTTATCTTCACAGTCACACAAATTTTGCCTTTAGTAGAGTGCTTTCCAATAGCTCAGGGCATTCTGTAAGAGACATTCCACACACTGCAGGGTAGTGGGTCTTAATCCACACAGGATCGTATTTTCCGAGAAAGATCACGCCTTTCCATGAGGGACAAATGACAAATTCAACCAAGTAATTTTAAAGCATACAATGCACATCTTTCCTCTCAAAAGACAGTGAAGGGATTTGATAATTAACAGAATGCCTTATCTTATACTGAAATTGTTGTCTCGTGGCACATGCAGTTTTTGCAAAACAGCTTTATTCTCTGTGTGTTTTTATTCCAGGTGATGGAACGATGGGAGAATCAAGGCAGCCCTCAGACAAGCCTATCTGCTCCAGCTATGCCACAGAATATTCCCTACCCACCCACTCTTCACAGGAGTTCATTTCCCGATTCAACAGAGGCCTTTGATCCACGGAAACCTGACCCATATGAGCTGTATGAGAAATCAAGAGCTATTTATGAAAGTAGGCGTAAGTGAAAATCCTGTTCATCCTGCTGGCCATTTAATATTTTAATTTTTTTCCTATGAATGTGCCATTGCTGACACAATTCTCCTTAATTAACTTTTGTGATTTAAAGAAAGAAACTGTAATTCCAATTAATATAAGGCATTTCAAAAAATCAGCACTTACATATTTTCCAAGATCTTCCTAGATTTTAAAGCTTCTTTCACGGTTTTGTTTCCTAATATTTCCATTCTCCTCATTTTGATTGAAGTCCTTAGTGAATAGTATATATGCCACTTTATTTTGATGTGCTGGTTTTCTTTATGATTAACCAATAAGAGGATGTGAAATTATCAATATAGTTGTTACATTTGCTCTCAGATCAACATTTATAGAAGAAACTTCCAGTTTCTTTCACTTGATAAACATGGCTGTGACAAGTTATGACACTGTCTTTGATAGTTAGAAAGAAATTCATAGTAATAAAACAATACTGAGCTAAGTTGCCTATCTTAATTTTGTTTTTAAGTAATATACCACATATTTTCAACAACAAGAATAAAAGGGGTTAAACTAATGTATTCCTTCCCATAAAGAACATTTTTTCAAAATTGGGAGTTTCTTCTCTGCAGTTTTTACTTGCACACATCACCTTTCAATTCATTTTATAAATTACTTTATCTGATAACCCAAATTACTATTAATTTATTAATGATTATTTATTAATTATAATTATTAATTACATGTGAAATGTTGCACTACAGCAAATAAACTTATTTATTTTAGATGAGCCCTAATCTATCATAATCTATGATCTGGGAGGTGCAAAATGGTAAAGGAAAGGAAGGAAATATACTGTTGTCCTCAACAAGGGTTTCTCAGTACCTTGTCCTTAATTCTTTAGTTACAAATTCAGCACCTCATGTTTGGCTTTGGTATTTCCAGTCTTCAACATTGCAGGAAAATAAGAGTTCATTTTACACCAACTCTAAATTAATTTTAATCCTAGTATCTAAATTGCATCTCACATTCCTCTATTGTTTGTCACTATGACAAGGGCCACCATCTTTCACCACCGTGTAAGGGAAACTTTCTTGAATAGAAATTGTCACCTAAAAATTCACTTTTCACAGTCCAGATTTTTCTTCCTTTTTACTTTTTTTTTTCCATTCTTTCAATAAGTGCTTATAATGAAGTTCCAAAGTTTAAATCTAAGTGCCATAAAACATTAATGGCATTATTCAGCAATACCATGTATTTTATTTACCCTAAATATAGATCTGTGGACTTGCAGCAGATCCCCTATAAAAACTATAAAACCGCTATATAATAACTATAAAAACTGTAAAAACTGTTTGATCTTTGATTATGAACTGTTTCAGTGTATTTTATAGATAGTTAGATAGATAGATTATATATAAATATAAAGAATATTAAAATTTGCCAAAGCAGAAATGCCATTCCACAGAGTGCTGGGATTTGGAACTATAAAGAGAAATGAAACAAGTGAAGTATTTCATAGTCAGCAAGGGTTTTAATCCTCTCTACTGGAAACACTCTTGTCTTTGTTTATTGCTTTAAGGATAGGAAAACCCTTTGTAAATAATTGCTTCACATGTGGATAGTTTGTATATGTGAAGCATTTAAGCAAAAATCTGAACTTTCCATTCAACAAGGTCACAACTCTCCTGTGTGCTTAAAGCCACCAAGACAAGAGTGGAAAAGTACAGATTTCCTATACCAAGAGAAATATATTTGAAAGACAAGAAAAAAAATTATATATGTCATATTTATATATGAAATACTTATACTGCACCTTCTTTGGTATTGATCCTCAATATCAATATTTCCTTATCTATAAAATTTCCATAAATACTAATGAAAGCAAATAGGCTCAGTCAATGTTTGCCCTTCATAGGACTGTGAGAATATAGACCTAATGTCAAGGACAAAGATTAGCTTACAACCTAAGCCAATGACACACTACACCAGAAGATACATTGCACCATTCAATAAAAGAATGAAGTGATTCATTATCATTCGTGGGTGCCTTCTATGAGTTTTCTGTTTGCTTCTTTGACCAACATGAACTCTAGTCTTTGATTGGTACAGTCTACTTTGTACAGGAGCAGATGTTGTGCCAGAGGAAGAATGGATAATTCATAGGTTGGAATTATGCTAAAACCTGTGTTTAGATGATATAACTGTATTTGAGTTCTGTCCAAGAGGGAAATGGAAACTAGCAACCTAGCCAAAATAAGAATTAAAATCATGAAACTCCTAGGCCCAGAACAAGAAGGTGAGGGATGAAAGCAAGACTGCAGTAACCGCTCCTCTCAGATTTCTAAGTGTCCTGATCTTCCAGCTAACCTTGAAAGCTTTAATCTCTTCTCTTCTGACTCACATGCTAAAAACTTCTCCACTGTGCTTTGATTCCACTATTCCCAACCAGATCTCTTCTGCATTCATTCATATCCCTTGGTCATAAGCAACTGCTTTCAAGCATCTTTCATGTCCCTGACATTTTTCTTTCATAAATGCCATCAGCACATCCACAAATTCAGTTTGTCACGCCATTGTTTCTGTTGGTTTTTTGTTTGTTTGTTTTGTTTTTCGTTTGTTTGTTTTCTTATTTTGATTTTGTTCTTTACATAGTGCTAGCATTTCCTGAAGTGAGAGGAAAAAAACAGGCAGGAAATCCATTACTGAGTCAAGAAGTTGTCATCTAAATTCAGTATATGGGAGGCAGTTCCAAGATAATACACACTTAGTTTCCTGCCATGTGGCTGTGTCAAGCTGATTGTCTTTAAGTGCACAAGAAAAGTTCAGCCTTTGGTATTTTTTCAAGTCCTCCTTATCTCAAAGCAAGCTTGCCTTATCTCTTGGCAAGACCTGAAAAGAAAGAGATTTATCTCCTAAAAATAGCACAAGAAATTGAACAATCATGACCTGGAAAACTCAGAAAAAGTAGTGCTGGATTTCGGTTCCCTTCACTGGGGGGCTGTTATTAAACGGTTCACTTTCATACCACTATAGCTCTGAATTTCTATGGATCAGTTAATTAGAGGATCTCACCGCAAGCAGCACTCACCAGAACCACATCAAAGCCTCCCGCTTCCCCATCAAGGAAATGGGTGCATTGTGCATCACAGTGTAGTGGTGTGAGCAAGTGACGTGACTCAAAGCTGAGCAAGAGCTAGAGCCAAGAAGCTTTATCACAAGCTTTTGCTCTGGCCGCTAGATATGCTCACCCCTACCTACTGATAGCAGGAGAGGGTCTCCAAGCATGAAGTCACCACAAAAGAAAATCATTTTCATTCTACAGAAGTGTTTTTCTGCCCCAGGTGTGTGAAGGGCCTGCATGACCCCGTGCAGTAGGGAGATTTCAATTTTTAATGATCACACTTGAGTTACAGAGGACCTCTACAAAACCTGAAATGATTTTGTAGAGGCTGTTCTGGCAATATGGATCTGAGATGAATCAAATGATGCATAATTAGAAAACTGGAGTGCAACAGTATTTTGTAAGTTGTAGCTCCTTGGAAAATTGTTTGTCACCTGTTAGCTGTTGCCTGTCAGCTCTTACCCAGCAGCTGCCACCTTCCTCTGCTGTCACCTGCCATCAGCTCTGTTCAGCAGCTCAAAATAGACAAAAAGGAGAATAAAGTGTTTCCCGAGATTGATGAAGTCACATCCTCAAAAACAGCTGTCTGAAAGTAAAAGAAGGGAAATTGTTTTCTTACTCTTTCTCACTCCTTTCTGCAGGTACATTTCTTCTGCTGCTTTTTTTTTCTTCTCCCCATTAAAGAAAACCTGTGCAGCTCTCTGCTGTCAACATTTTCCACCAAACTTAGAAATGGAGGAGAATCCCTGCTCAAATAATTGGCTTATTTTTCATTTTTCCATCCAAATATACAATTTAGATGTCTTAAAGACAAATCCTTTAACTTTTTTCTCCTTTTGAAAAATCTTGTAGTGTAAGTGACAGCACTGTGACTCTGAGGATAATCATACCTCATTATTATGAGGAAAATCAAACATGACACATCAGATCAGGAATCTCATGTTAATAAAACAAATTGTGAGTCCATGTGAACCACTTGTTACAGCTATAATGAGCGCTGCAGAACTTACTCTCCTGAATTTAACATTTTTGCTTTCAAAGATTTTCCTTATTTTATTACTTATATGGAATGCTGCTTTTTGTAAATATACAGTCAAAAACGGACTTTGTCCAGAAGCCTACATAGGCAGACATCACTCAAACAGGGAGCTCAAAGCTGCTGGGAATCATAATGCCATAGTCTCCCATTATAAAATGTTTAATATAAATTTGGCTTTAAGTTTCTTTAAAGAAAACAGCGAAATGAAACATTTCTTCATAGTAATTAGGTTACATTTCTCATTCAGTCAGTGTTGTAGTACAAGAGTGGCAACGTGACACAGAAATGCCAGTAGGAAGAACAAGATAAGCTAGTGATAAGCTCTCATTAAAAGTGAATTCTGGACAATTACAGCTCCATCTTCAGAAGAACAAAGATGCCTTCTTTCAAAATCTCCCATGTTAATTTCTCTCCTCACCATGGTATCACGAATTTCCCAAGTTCTTTTCAAATTTACCATCTATCTGTCTTATGTACTATAACTCCTTTTTCTTCTGGAAAGCAACCAAAAAGCAAAGTCCACCAACAACTGTGAAGCCTATAGATAGTAAATGGTATTAGCATAATTTGTTATTAGCCTTTATGAAATAAGAGTGTTTTCTTATAGAAACTTATGAATGACTTTCACTAAGGGTCACACCAGGCATTTTAATACAAATTCCCAAGCTGTCTTTCCTCTGAAATAGAATTTTAAAAATTCAGAACAAATACAATTTCAGGTATCAGCAATAGGAAAGATTTTTCACACAGTGTTATACAGATCAATAATGTGTAACCTTGAAAATACCATTTTTGCAGAAAAGTACTAAGGCCATCAGAGTTTTCTAACTCTGATACTCATAGAACATTTTAAAAAGATGG